GGGTAGTGATGTCTACCAAAACGTCAATGTCCACAACAACTCTCCTTCCTCTGACAGCTTGACATCTGTGTTGATTGCCACATAGCAGAGCTGTCTTGTATTGTTGAGATCCCTAGTTCCTATTAATCAATCTTTATTTTGAGTATGCTCTCTCACAAGGAACGCCTATTTTAGGGCAAGCCATTAGCTGCAACTGCCTGCGTACCCTGGAGTTCGCTCTTGGTCTGTTTGGAAAGAATCAACGTGGAACATCTCAGTAAGGAAATCTCCGTAATCTACGGTCCCATCTTTATTGCGGTTGGCATCATTAGGTTCAATGAGACCTTGGAGACTTTGGAGACCAAGGTCGTAACACCTTCATTCGCGGATGTACTTAATTGTCTGTGTAAGGCGAGATCTGGCCCTGGGTTTGAATCTTAGATCGTATCTACCCACCCTAATTTAGTACATTTGGTGTACGTTCTATTGGTGCAATGACCTGTTAGCTAGGTTCATGAGATGCACATTTGATAAGTATCTTCTATCTATGGTGGATTATCAGGTTCATTCTCACTCCTCATCCGTACAGAGCGTGAACGTAATCAATGTGATAATGCCGAAATGATTTGGTCATTATTTAGATGTTATCTGTCGATACTAAAATCTGAAACCATTTATGCAAGGTGAGCGTGTTTTAAGAATAGCGTCATTGTCCGTATGTTACAGTTTTCTAAAACACACACTTTCATATTCGTTATAGATTTATCAAATCTTGAAATAATGTCGGATTGTTTTCCTTAACTTCCTATCCTATCAATACGACATGTGGTTTCAAATCCTTGACTGATCACCTTCTAAAACGAACAAAATGTCATCAATTGGAACTTATAAGCATTATGTGTTTCCGGTATAGCAGGACATTTAAAATGGACTTACATTTCTTGGACATAATCGAGAATATCTGTACTAGTGAGTGAGTGATGTTTAACGCCGCTTTTAAGAGTATTCCAGTTATATCACGCCGTGTCAGCTTAATGTGTGAGGAAAGCCCGAAGTGAAGAAGGTCTTAGACGTTTACCACTTCGCTGAAACCCACGAGCACGGGTATTGTGCTGACAAACCTAGAAACATAATTGGGGCGAACCGGGATTCGAACCCAGAATCATAGGTTTCTGGCGTTCCCAAGGGACGCAACTCTGCGCAGCGAATCGCGGCGCCTTAGACGACTGGGCCACCAGTGCCCCCTAACTTATACGAACGTTTGCAATGGAGTCGGTATTTGTTTCTCTGTTGATTGTCTAGTTAAATACTTGGGCGAGTATCTGTATATTTCTATACAGATACACACTTTCTCAACAACTCCAGAACTACGTTTCGGGTTGGATTGATATGAGGACCAACCCCAACTGTGTCATTTATTTGTCTAGACGACAGTGGCTTGTGTGAGAAGAAGATGGCAGAGAGTACATACCATCAGGACGCACCATGAACTATTAGTCTGCTCTCGTGTACGTGAGATATGCCAGACCACGAAATGAACTGGTTGCAATATATGTCCTTCTGGAACTACGTATGACTGAACTTCGTCAAGGCTAAACACAGTGCTTAAGGTAAACAATTATAATTCATCATTCTATCATGGTTGGAAGCGAGATCAAAACGCCGCCCATCATGTATTAGACAACAGATAGGACACACGCTGTCGCGTGAACCATCCCACTCGTGAAACCGCAAGAATTCAGACCTAACCATCATCTTACAAACAGATACTGCCCAGATATTAGCGCCTCCCTAATCATTGGGAATGGCTGTATGATTAGAGGAACAGTGCTATTCTCTTCCGGTGGTAATCACGTACATATGACGATTAAAGCTCATGAATTTACAACCAGCATATTAACGAATATATGGATCAATCTTAGCTGTATCTATGATCGATATTGTGTAAATGGCCATTGCTATTACATTGACAACTGTAGTATTATTGTGTTTGAGGTGAGGTGAAATGGGGTTTAACGTCGCGTCCAAGATTATATAGCGACGTGCATGCACGTGTGTGTGTGTGTGTGTGTGTGTGTGTGTGTGTGTGTGTGTGTGTGTGTGTGTGTGTGTGTGTGTGTGTGTGTGTGTGTGTGTGCTTGTACTAGTCCGGACTGATGCCGATTTATAGTGCTGGGCTCACTGAAATACCATGCCGCAGTTTAACATGAATACCCCACTCAGCCATAGTATACTGACTCCGAGCCGACCAGTCCTTGTTTTAGTCCCTTAAATGCTGAACGCCAGACAGGGTAACAACAAGTACCATCTTTTAGTATGATCGAACCCCGGGCCTTCCGCTCTCCGGGCGGACGCTCTCCCACTAGACCACGGAGGCGGTCTTAATGTGCTTGAAGGAACAAGCAGTAAACTATTTCGCTGTCTTTTTTTGCAGTCAGAACTTCATCAATTGCCGAAAGTTCACTTCAGAGCTGTAATGGTTCGCAACGCCTTTGTTTCTTCCACACGACATTCCGTCATTGTATGATACACTCTTATTTTCGACGCTGTGCTGACCTTCAACTTGATATACACTCATACAGGTTTCCCTCCTTCCCAATCCTAATTCCATGTTCTCTGATGTAGTGTTCCACGTATGTTTTCACGTCTTTTGATCCGAAGTGATCACTGTAGACAGTCGATTTGAGTTCCATTACATCATGCATTCCGTCCGGCTGTATGAATATGCATTAAAACAGCACTTGTAAGACGGGCATTGAATGTGGAGCACATGTACTACAATATATATCGAAATAATGAACATCAAATTAACGATACATATTTTTCAATTCGTGTAGTTCTCGTGTGTTTGGACTAAATATAAATCAACCAAAAATACACTATGACCACCGACAACCAACATTCAGCTACCAACTTCAAAACGCCACTATAGAGTGAGTGAGACGGGTTTAACGCCGCATTTAACAGTATTCCAGTTGTATCGCGGCGTGTCAGCTTAATGTGTGTGGAAAGACCGAAGTGATGCAGGTCTCAGACGTTGCCACAAGGAGTTAACCTTAATTAAATCCAGTTTGTTAGTAAATTGTCCGGTCGGATTCCTGATGCTGCATTGCATTGGGAACGAAACGCAGGCCAATGTTACAATGTTGAAATTGTGAACGAGTATGTAATAATATAACAGTCGGCGTGGTGAGCAATGCAATGCAACAGCAGAAAATATATTTTTTCAGGTTCTATGTCACTCCCGTCGTTTTGTTCACTCCACACAGGGTATGTTACAGTGAAGATATACTCCACTTGATGCAAATAATAAATTGTACACTAATATTCGCAATGAATATAATAATTATACTACATAATTTAAAATCAAATTCCACGCTCTTTTCGTAGATAAGCTAATTATCTCGTTCAATTTCTGTTCATGACACAGAAATGTTATTTCAAAAACGTTAGGATGCGCTTTTTGCCGATCGCCTTCTCTCCCCCCCCCACCAGAAACATTTTTGTTCGTGGATCTGTCGTCTCATAGTGGTTCCAGGACGTTTGGACCAGGCTTCCCTCAGTCCATGTAGTTGTGGCGTACTCTATCTGCCATCAGCTCACAACACTGGTCCAGTGGCATATCTACATGTGTTACCAAATGTCTTCAAGCGGCATGTCGCGGATATTCTTCATTGTTCTCTCGCAATCTTTGGTACTGCGTTTAAAAAAATCTGTTCTCTTGTCGATTCTTTACATGAAACCACCAACACATACATAGCTACCCCGCTCCTGAAATCCTGCTTTTGCTATCTCGAATGTGATGCACATAACTTCAGCAAGTTATAACTAAACTCAGTGTTAACTTTTCATTACACAGATTTAAGTAAGGTGAACGAAGTTCAGTCATTGACAGTTTAGCACACGTAACTATCCCTAATGGGCGAAGGAAGCTTTTCACTCCACCCCCGAATCATAAGCCCTTAGATAAACACAAGTAAAACAACAAGAACAAGATTCGCCTTCCTGTGAATACCTAGTACTGAAAAAGTCGCCTTCAAGCGAAGACACCGTTTTAACTTGATGATGTTCACTTAATCGTGAGTAGAGTGTGTTTGGTTTGGCGTTAGTCTGTATGGTAACGGGGATTATGGTTATTTTTTGTCCTTGAATAAAAAATAAGTTGACACCCACGAAGACCAAAACCGAATGATTTTATTCCCACAGAAACGGACCATCGACGTCTAATACGCTGAACAACTGATGTAATACTATTTGTGAGACTGCAACTACTTGACTAAGTGCCCAATCTGTATCTTCCTATTCGTCATGGCTGTGTGCATCGCTTCATCGCAAAGGATTCTTCTAATGTGTTGCCCCCCATTGGTTATCTAATTAATTTTCATTAAACGTTTTAAGAGAAATGTTGATGACCAGTGCTTATTTTATTTATGGATCAGTAAGTCGTACGTTTCAGTTTAAGGCACCACATCAACAGTAATCAATTAGGAAAATTACAACTAGTTTAAAATAAATTAAACATTTCCCTGAAGGACAGGAAATTACTTTGCACTGACAATAGTCGTCTTGTTACTCGGGTCGTGTTTGACTACGAACTACAACGCTCGGTGACAATCCGTGTTCAGTGGAGGGATCACATGTGCTGATTAATCGATGATTGCAACACTTTTAGAGTTATCGAGATTAACTAACTTTCTCCCATTAGTAGCAAATCAACAATATACTGATCATGGTAGTCCTGATGTAACAATGGCATAAAACGGACAAGTTTATTTAATGCGGGAGAGCTTTCACAAGGGGGATTTCCATGATCTGATCGAATTAATGGTGCTGTTATTTCAAGATTAAAGGCTTTTCGATTGCAGCCTATAACACGAACTGTTTTCCGAAGGGACAATCTAAATATGCCGTTTCACGCTCTATCTTCAATGCAACAAAGAGATATACATACACCACACAACACATCAAGCTCTGATGCCACATTCCGATCAGAACTACCGAGTACACGCTATACCAGCGGATTGATTGCGGCACTGCGGAAAGGCATTGTGCGTGAGGCAGCCCACTCGTTCTTGTCTCCACCAATAACTGATGCAAAGAAGGTAGCGACTCTACAACCGATTGGCATCAATAACGCCTTCCTATGGTTGGTGACGTGGGCTTGGTGTCAGAGGGGATGTAAGCTAGGCTTGTCACAACTTTTTCTCTCTCGTTGTTCCTATATAAGTTTGCAGCAGCTGACTTGCCATTGTAACTGCCCGTGTGTCACACTGCAAGCACCGAATCCCTCCCTCTCCAGTGGGGCTTTTTCTTTCAACCACGATGTCTTCTGTCATACATACGCTCACACTGGGAGTTGTTGTGGTTTTAAGTGTCCTCAGTTGTGGTTTGGGAGAAGATCAAGTTGCCAGTGTAACGGGTGACAAAGAACAATCGGACTTTTCTCAAAGGACACTAGACTCTGTACATGTTTTGAAAAAGAGGGCCCCTGGTTGGGGCAAGCGGTCACTGGAGGATGAGGTGAACAGTGACGACGATATGTCTTATGACAGTGAAACCCCCGAGGACATTTTATCAGGTGCTGATCTTTCCAAACGCGCGCCCGGTTGGGGCAAGCGTACCTTAGATATTCTAGAAGATTACACCAAACGGGCACCCGGCTGGGGTAAGAGAGACTCTCTAGATGTTAAACGTGCACCTGGTTGGGGAAAACGAGATATCGATATGGACAAACGTGCACCTGGATGGGGCAAACGAGCACCTGGGTGGGGAAAGCGTGCACCTGGCTGGGGAAAGCGGGCACCTGGCTGGGGAAAGCGTGCACCCGGTTGGGGCAAAAGAGCACCTGGATGGGGCAAACGATCTGACACATCATGTGCTGGAATCGACGAGGAGGTTGACTATTACATATACAGAGCTGTCCAGGTAGGTGATTGCTTCGTGAATACCTCCTCTATATATCAACCAAATAATTTCAAAATCTATTATTGGCAGCGGGGGAAATTAGTTTTACCATTGAAGTGAAATTGAAGTGAAATGGAAGTAGAAAAGCGTAGACCCAATATTCGTAGGCTGTTGTCCCAAACACCATAGAACAAATACTATTGGACTTTCTATGAAGGCAGCGAAATCAATATCTGATATGTCATGCAAGCTGATGTCGATTTACTCACCCACAGTAAATGTATTTTATTAAACCCTCTCGATTTTATATACTCAATTTGTTCTACATTTCACTGTTTTAAGTTCAACTGATTTAGTGAATATTCTTCATGTTTACCATACCGCTGCTGTGGGCTCATAAAACCCTCTGATCACAGAGCTCCCTGCATTACATATTCCTCCTGAGTGTAGGATTGATGATGATTTTATTGTCATTTATGCATTATTTTAAAGTGACAAATGATTATGAGGTAACCTTTTATCGTCCTTCATCTCCCACGTCCAATTATGAACGCTTTTAGTTTGCAGATTGGGCAATTATGGTCAGTATGACAAAGGGTTCGTTGCTTAAAAAGTGAATAATAACCTAAAAACGATTCTATCGTGTAATTCCTTTTTATAAATCACCCAACTGTATAATAAAATATAAAGTATTAAGTATTCGGAATCCAGTGCACTTTATTGTTTTCATTTTTTCCCAAGTTTAAATAACATTAAATAAGGCATGAAGTGAATGTCTCAGAATATGCATTTTTGACACGGTGGTACGTGTTGTGAAAGAAAACACACCACAAGCTAGTTATGATGGTGCCGCTACGTGCATATGTGATCGTAAAATATTAAGTAAAAGTGTGTGTAATCTACAAAGAGATGCGTAAAGGGATTAATAGCATTTTATTGACATCCTCCCTAATAACCAAATGTCAGAGACTGTTGTTCACATCAGTTGTCATACTAATGCAATTATTGCAGAGAACGCGTGTCTACGTGATCAGGAAAGTAGTATTGAGTCGAAGTAGGATATGAAGATATGATATGTTCCCCATATGTATGCTGGATATGACAGGGAAGTACTGCACAACGTACATTTATGTGGATTTTGCATTTACAGTTCTTTGATAGTTGAAATCTCGTATCCTTTTATTTCTAACTGAAGTTAAGTGTATGTTAATACCGAAGGCTTAAAGTTTCTTTCTCGTGTTCTGTGAATTTCTCTTAAAACTGATTATGCTATTAAAGTCGATTATGACTTGATTTAACCACATTTTTCTTGGCGTTTTTAGGCGTGGAATTGGTGTACTTAATGTTGCCACCCACTCACTCATGCGTCTTGCGTTACTTTCAGAGAGAACCGTTCGTGGTTGTTAAGGCAATAAAAACACAATGTGGAGTATATAACATGATCAGGTGTTTACAGGTTATATGGGTACTTTCATTGTATACACTGGAAACTATATATCTCCAGTCATAGCTATTCATTCATTTTGCAAAATAAACTGCCTCAAACATACATGAAGGTTTAAGAAACAACATACTGGTATCTTCAGAACCTGCGCCTTAAATAATTCTACCTCTTTTTGTAAAAATGTGTTTCTTTCCATACCTAATGGTGAGTGAGTGAGTTAAGTGTTTCACATCGGCAATATTTCAGCTATATCGTGACGATCTATATCTAATGGTGAGTGAGTGAGTTAAGTGTTTCACATCGGCAATATTTCAGCCATATCGTGACGATCCATATCTAATAGGCGCAAGCCAAATACATATATGTGGGCCTTTAAATCTACCAGTTATGCCATTTTAGTTCAATTAGAAATGAGTGGTAATCCGTATGTTAAACGCGGATAAAACATTCCTTGGCGCCAAGGCGACGTTGAGAACAGAATTCCTGTTTCGTTGATGTTTGAATCTAAATACATGATCATGATCGATTACAATGTTACGACATTTCCTTTTTGTTAATTGTGTTGAAAAGTAATTATATCTAATCGTTATGACATAAGCGAGAGTATTACACGAACACATTATCATATCGTTATGAATTCCATTGTCGCCATTAAACAATGGAGTGAGGATATTTACTCAGCTTTTAGCAATATTCCAGCAATATCACGGCGTGGGACACCAGAAATTGTCTTCATCACACAATGCATTAAGTAATAACAGTAACTATGCGTATGGTAATTTTATCAAGATGATACTTAATACCTAACAGTGAGTGAGTTCGGTTCAACGTCGCTTTGAACGGTAATCCAGTCATATCACGGCGTGTCAGCTTAATGTTGGAGGAAACCCAAAGCGTTGCAGGTCTCAGACGTTTACCACTTCGGTAAAACCCAAGAGGACGGGTATGGTGCTGACAAACCTAGAAAATAATTGTGGTGAGAGTCGAACCCAGCTTTCTGGCATGCCCAAGGGAATCAACCCTGCACAGCGAATTGCGGCACCTTAGACGACTGGGCCACCCGTGCCCCCTTTACAATCCTTTACTTAGATAGTGAACATTCAAGTTTTTGTTGCATTTTTTTCTCAATCTGCTCTGCCTATAACCTTCGTCACCAGTTGCATATTACCTTGCATATAAACTTATCTGTTCCATGAGGTTGTGAGATCAAATGTATCGCACAGCAAACGCATCGGTCTATACTTGTTGCGTTAAGGAACTTTTGCAACTGCGACTATCAATGTGTACATACAGAATCGATGTTTATGTTGTAATATTAGATCCTACGACATTAACAAGGTGTTTAGGCGACATTTATTTGATTAGATGCGCAGCATAGTGTCTAGACGCGGATTGAGATACCTATTGAATGAAATTAGCCTGACTTGCGTATTAGATAATATTTTCTCAAACCAAACAGTTTTCTCCTCGATTTCAACATCTCGCGAAGCCAGCGATGTTAAAAAAGCCAATTTGATTAAGATAATTTACATTGGACATGAAAATCCGGTTATGTTTTCTCGTGACTGAACTAAAAAGAGACGGTGTTGAATGTATTAATGATTATATATCTTTCATGGGATATCAGTTTGATTATTGAAAACTATTACATAATTGATAATACGTTACAAACAATACATGGATGTAAATTTAATAGAATGACATTGAGTGGTAGTATTTCGTCTTTTGGTTTATTTTGCTTGGAGGATCAAATAACGAAAGTGAATAATTTCGCCCACAGCAAGAATACTCAAGAGATCCGTTTGTCTTTTGGAACATGTTGGATTACATCAATATTATTGTTTCCACTGGGTAGTGTCCAACACGAGATCAGCGCGACTTTACATGCCTCTTTGAAACACAGTGATGAGTCCCGTGAAGATCCGGGGTAGAATTGGTCTTCATCAATCCATGTTTGCCGTAAAAGGCGGCTATGTTTGTCGTAAGAAGCGACTAACGGGATCGGGTGGTCAAGCTCGCCGACTTGGTTGATGCATGTCATCGCATCCAGTTGCTATGATCGATGCTCATGATGTAACTGGATTGTTCGGTGCATAATCGATTATTTACAGACCGCCGTCGTGTAGCTGGAATATTGCTGAGTGCGGCGTTAAACAACAAACAAACAAACAAACTGTTAATCGTCTACGCTTCGCTTCTCTGGACATTCCCCCCATATTCCATATACAAACAAACAAACAAACAAACAAACAAACAAACTGCGTAGATTGATTCTCATAATGTCGATCACTGGATTGTCGGGTCTAGACTCTATTATTTATAGACCGACGTCATACAGCTGGAATATTGCTGTATGCGGCGGTAAACAAACAAACAAACAAACAAAACATAGATGGTGCAAAACACATGAACTCTGGGAAGAGCTCAAAGCGCATGTCATTACCCCAAATGTGCATTCAAATTGCATTCTCAGCTCCCCGTGAAGTATAGGACCTAATCACATCCTACCGGGTTTGTTTATTGTTTAACGCCGCACTCTTTTAGACGTCTGTCTGTTAACATTCGAGTCGGACTAGAGAATCTAGTGACTCAATGATTGACACGATGAACATCTATCTACGATATTGGGATACGATGACATGTATCTGTAAAGTACCACCCGATCCTGTTAGTCGCCTCATACGACATGCATGGGTTGCTGAAGACCTGTTCTAACCCTCATCTTCATTGGGTCATCTCACTAGGTCTCCGTTCGCTGCATCTTCTTTCAAGAGTAATCGTTTTCTACTTCATCGTCGTCACAGAAACATAAACACGATATTAAGTGAATGTACAAATGGACATGCATTGAAGAACGACACACTCCATAAATGTGTTTTAACTTTAAAAAGCGAGCGTCCGTTCGTTGTCTAACGTCGCACCCAGTATTATTCCAGCAATATGACTGCGGCCTTTAATAAATCGAATCTGGGCCAGACAACCCAGTGATTAATATCATGAGCGACGATCCATGCCGTAGGGGTACAATGACACGCTGTCAACCAAGCCGCGCAGCCTGACAACCTGACCAATTAAGTCGCCCCTTACGACAACATAGGCTGCTGGGGATTTATTCTAATACAATATACTCATTCCAAATTCTGCTGAAGCACTAAAGGCGTGAAACATCAGTTGAATTCTCTGTCATACATCATTAAACAAAAAACACAAGTAAAAGCTTCAGTGCCTAATCGTTAATCGATAATATTTGAAAGGTTAAAATAATATCTGTCATGCTGAAGTTGTAGTTGATGTTTGGCACTGTGAAATGATCAGATACGTCACGTGGACGGACCACACAAATGATAGAGTTCAGTGGCGCGTAACTCAACCACTGATCGACCCACACATCGATATACCTAAAACACGCTTCTACATTTTAGTATGGTCAGATAAGCATTAAAGAACACATTTATATAACAATTGACAATAAACAATGGCACATGTCTTCAATGGATTCATTCAGGTGTTTTGACAGTCTAAGTAGTATGTAGCAGGATCTGTTGTCTTGAATAGTTGACGGTTTTGTTATCAACAA